GAACAGACGCACATGGGGAAGGAGTACCTGCTCACAATAGCGATCCCCGGTTACAGACCCTCTGTCGAAAACGTGGAGCTCAGTTCGCCCGTTCAGCATAATGCCTCCCCAGACAAGAATCCAGGACCACCGTTACGGTGTCTTTCCTTGATGTTACTGGGATAAAACCGGGTCCCGACCTCTCTCCAAATCAAAACGCGTTGAGAATCGCTTCTGGTACTGAACCGACTCTCATCCGTAAAGAGGACACGACTCCATTGATCAGTTGTCCAGTTTTTGTGCTCTCTGCACCACTGTAAACGGTGGCGTCGGTGGCCAACTTTCAACGGGAGGCAGCGTTCAGGACGGCGGGCGAATAGGCCCCCTTTGTGAAGGCGTCTGGCCACAGTAAACCGCGACACTTGTCGCCCCGTTGCTGTACAGAGTTGCTGAGCAATGGCGCTTGCTGACTGCTGTCGGCCTCTTTTCGCCTGCAGGACGATATATCGGTCATCCCCTGCAGTTGTCGTCCTCGGGCGGCCACCACCAACCTTTCTAACAGCTGTACCTGTGGTTTGGAACGCTTTCCAAGTGCACGAAACGACACTTTTGTTGATTCCGAACTCTGCAGCTACACTGGTGACAGTACGCCCCTCCTCCAGCTTTCCAGTCATTCTTCCATGTGTGAAGTCGTCCAGGTGATTTCTTCTAGCCATATTTCACGAACTGACTCACTGGCACTTGCAGCGAATATGTTGAATTGCGTCTCCGTCCTTCCTTTTATTCTACTGTTGAGCTGTGCATGCCGACATCACGCGTTTTGTGTACGCTCACATCGCCTCTGACATTTCGATCCTGATATTTGCATATGCATGACACGTGTTCGTTGTATTGATCTCCAGACCTCCTTTTCTGCAATTTCATGGCTATCTGCTAAATTTTTACATTGTTGCTTAAGTTTTGCACACCAGTTTATATTCTTTCTGAAAAGCATTTAATTGGAAGTTGGTACCTGTCAGCTCTGCATATGTGATCTTTAAATATGAGAGTTACAAAAAAATTCAAGTTGCACTGCAGAAAAGTTTGCTAGATTTTGAATACAAAACTATGAAAAGTAAACGGGGATCATTTTGCATAATTAAAAAAATAAGTTATTAATGGTAACCCAGTTATTTTGTGGTTATTTTGGTGAGAAATTGGATAGTTTAGAATTTTTCAACTGTAGTTTTAAAAATTTTGCTTTAGAAACATCCGTATTTTTCCGAGAATCATCTGTAGAATAAGGAATGTTTTCGGCCATAAACAATGTTGAATGCTCTAATGATTATGAAAATAAAAATAACATTTTATTAAAGTAATGAGGTAAAAAAATCTGCTAAAAAGAATCTGAATTTAATTTGAATCAGAGAATACCAGAGTATGTGTTTTACTCTTTTGTATTGAGGAAGTAAAGGTAGTTACAATACCCTGATGAAGTGTATGTACTTAGTGTTTGTTTACAGCAAGTCAAAAACTGCAATGGTGTATATTGCACTGATTCTGCAAAAACTTTTTTCATGCTTCTGAAGAATTACCCTCAAAATTGATAGAGCTTCATTCAAAATGTATGCAAAATCAAGGTTTCCTTTTCTGTCCTAATTTTAAATTCTGCCCTGATATGTTTCTCTTCCATTTCTTCCCACTTGAGAGAATTCTAAAATCCAGCTTTTCGAGGATTTCTATCATTTTCATTAAAGAAATACAAACTAAGTTATCTGTAGATAGCTTTTTTTCTAGAGCACATTCATAAATATTGCAGTTACTTTCCTTTGTATACAGATGGGTCAAAAGCAGCTATTCATTGGAATAGCCTTTATAATTGGAAACCGTATGGAGGAAAAATAAGCTGCATTAAATTTCAGTTATTGACTTCAGAATTATGCTTTGCCCTCTCATAGATATTTAAGCTATGCCAAAAAAACTTTATACTGACTCGTATAGTGCATTTAAAGCTCTAGAAGCGTTTTTTTGATATGCAGAACTCTAAGCAATGAAATTCTAAAACTACATTTGAATTTAACCACTTGTGGGTACCATATTCTTCAGCGATAGTTTTCTCGACAAGTTAGGGATAAGGAGGCAAACTGGCAGGAACCACAATAAAGTCTATTTAGAAATTCTCTACTTGGTCCTTCCTTTTATGCTCCCCATTCACAAGAGCAGATTCGACCGGTAGTGAAAACTGGTTCTTCCAACGTGTCCCATTCACACGGCGACAGCATTAACTGCTTCTTCGAATTCAGAGGTAGAACATTCCTACCTCTCGAGAGCAGGGCAAATGGGGAGATTTCCCATACTGCACTGCGCGATTGCGCGGTTCACTTAATTTTAACAAACAACATGGCTGACGTGCAACTGACTGCACGGCTGGACTGTCAGTGAAACATTGATTAAAAAAAAAAACAGCATTGGTAGATATCTGAGGATGCGATATCATCCAAAAAAATTACATAGAACCGTACGAAAATACGGAAATTTGTAAACAAGTATGGACAGTATTATCTGATGCAGGGTATTCCAGAAATACTTTTCAAATTAAATCTAAAGACGTGCTTCGATTCATGAAGATACCGGCTTCAACTCGACAAGGGGACTAAATACCTTTTGAATGATTTTTTTTATTTAAGAACTTCTATCTACTTTTTATGAAGTTATTATGTGGTTTCTCTTCTTCTTTTAATCATTTGGTCTTGTATATGAATTATTAAATGGTTGCCAGTATTTTTTTAATTAAAATTTTTGGAAGAAAAGTTTAACAATTAAAATGTCATTTTTCTCCAACAATTTTTAATGATTTCCCCCATTTTTTCTTATTCTTTTATTAGAAAGTTCTGAATAACTTAAAGGATCGATTTTTCAATTAATGAGTTAGTTTCTGAGAAAAAATAAAAACACACTTTTATGCAAAAACTTCGAAACAAATATAATGTGAATTACATTTCCACTTCAAATGATTTTTCTTTTCAGTATTTTTCAACACCCATCCTTGTTTCCATATAGTAATTCTATAATTTTAATTAAGCGGTAAAAATATCAAATAATTTAGGCAATATTAAGTTTTCGGATTTGAAATAAAAGGATTTATCGAAAGCTGTGTATATGGTCATAAAATCATTTCAAATTTCTAAGAATTTTAGTACTGAATTTCATTACATATATACATATAAAATAAAACCTAGTGCTATTCAAATGGTTAATATAATCATAAATTACAAGCTTTTATTTATAATCTTCATAAAACACAGTCAAAACATTTTAACAGATGAATTAATTCTGGTATATTTTTTAAAATGTTTATAATCAATATTAAAACATTAATATTATTAATTTGTAGTTTGATTCATGTTTTTAAAAAGGAAAGTTTGAAATTTTAGCAGCCACAAAACATTTTATTTAAAACCGCTCAGCACCATATGTGGTTTCTCTTCTTCTTTTAATCATTTGGTCTCGTATATAAATTGCATTTTAAATTAATTTAGGTGTATTTTAAGTAATTAAAAGAGCTCTAGTGGCATTCTATAGCAATAGTAAACAATATCAAAAAAGATGCAAGTAAACGTTAGAAATCCGCCAATCTGATTTGCATTTGTGACATCATTAATTGCTCACAATGTCTTTATGTGTTAAGGGAAGGAAGACGATATGCATATGAACCGGTCGTGAAGGCGAAAGTGCTTCATATCCCCGTTTCTCCCTAATACAAAGGGTGGTGTTGCGAAAGAGCAGGGCTCTTGTGATATAAGCATGATCATGAAGGGCAAAACCATAAATAAATGGCAGCTGCTATGACATGTTCAAGTCAATAACAAGACGTGTCAGACCTAGAGTGTGAGATTGGAAGGAACCATAGAAGAGAACCTTGTAGAAACTAGAGGAAGAAGGCACGTTCTTTTATCTCACCTTACAATTTGTCAGTCTCATCTTTTCCTTAATTATTTCCTGAAAGTAAAGGACGAACCTATCTGCTCATATTGTAAAGCTGCTCTGTCAGTGCAACTTATTTTAATTGAATGCCATTATTTTAATGGAGTGTTTAATGTTACTCTTGAGTAAGATTTAACACTTTAATTGAGCAAGAGTTAATTTTTAATATATTTAAATATTTAAAAGAAACTTTTTTATTTCAAAGTTTTAAATGTTCTTAAACTACCTTGGTGTATTTTACATGTTTTGTATGCATGAAGATTTTACCCATGTCTATTGTTTACAGCTGGTCTATTTTATGCATCACTTCATACCATGCACCGCTGTTTATTAGTCTATATGACCTTAGTTGGTGTTGTCATTTTGTTTTGATTCCTTTTCATAATAACATTTCTTAATTATCACCAGTATATTATTTTAATTGGTTTTAGAATTTTACTTCTTTGTTAAAGATGATGATGTCACTTCACCATGTTTGGTGCATCTTCTATGATGTGCTATAGTAATTTTACCATCTTTCATTTTTATAAAAACTGAATTGTGTTAAAGCAAATAGATTGCAGTATTTTTTTGAATAATACATATATTCTCAGGTAACTCATGATTCATATTGAAGAGGAAATGAAGAGCATATTTTTCTTAAATTATTCAGTGCATTTAAAAAATTTGTTGGTTAAAGTTATTTCTTCAATTTTTTGTATAATTTTCATACTTTATTTTTTTATTTGAGTTTACTGTACATAACTTGGAAAAATGTTTATCATCATATTTAGTAGTTTGTTGTTAGAGGGGGGGGAATTTTAATTAACTAAGGTAAAATATTATGCTATGAGCATGTTTAGACTAACTAGAATCAACTGTGTTAGATATTTGCAAATGTAGTTAATATAAATAAAGGATATAAGTTCATAATGTATTACTTTTAATGTCTTGTAGTTAGTTCTGTATAAATATTGAATAACTTTATGAAAATTCAAACTGTATGCATAACTTCCAGTTTACATTATTGAATTGCTTAGTAATTTTCTATTAAAATATGTATAAAAATTAATTTTTAGGGTTCACAGACAACCAAGACATTTGCAAGCCTTTCTTTTAGCAGAATTGGGTACAAGGTAAGTGACTGTATAAATGTTTCAATCTCTATAGTTGATGCTGCAAATGTTTTAGTAGTCATTGATTACCAAATTATTCAAGAAAATGATTTCATCAGATCAATTTCTACCCACTTGCTTTGAGATCACAGTTTCATAAGCTGAGTTATTTCCCTTCATAGTGTGATTTTTGCACTGTCCTACCATTTAGCAAATTAGTGATAAAAGCTCTTGAAATAGTTGGCTTTATAGCCTGAAACCATTTTAGAAATGCCTTTTCAGCATCTCTGTATTTTCTTTTTTGCACTTCCTTGAGACATTTGCCTTTTTTATAAGCTTTTCATTAATTATAATTTTTTGTTTAATTAAACTGGAGGATGCTACTTGAGAAACTCACTGTTTAAATGTAGTTTTCATTCCGCTGTAGTTACCAGAAACATAAAAATCTTTTAACAGTCCTTTTCTCTTTTTTACTGGGCATTTTCAGTATGTTACAAGCTAAGTGCACAACAAATTAAAAAAAAAATGCCTCTTCCTGTTTTTATAACTTTCTGTGAACATGATATATTTTGTCAAGCGGGGATAGTTTTAATGTTGAAAAGATGTGATACAGAGTTGCACTTCATCCTCCGAGCAGCTGATATTTTCATTTACAGTGCTTCTAGAATGGTGGTTCTGAACCTTTTTTTGCCTCATGCACCACTTTTGCCATTGCTAGTCAGTCATCCCCTGCCTTTCTAAACTTTGGAAAAATAATATTTAAATTTATTTTTTAATGTGTTTTATAAATTAAACCAGTGAAACTCGCTTCTTACTTTATTGTAGGAAGAAATAAGTGTTTTAGGAAAATCATAAATTATCTTACAGATGCTTATAAAAAAAGAGAGAGAGAGAGAGAAAAGAAAGAATGCAAAGAAAGGAGCCTTACGGATATCAAATGTAACTCAAATTTGCTTCATGGGAAATCTATTAATTGAAGGAATTTGTTAGATGTATATTTAATATTTGCATTTCTTTTTTTCTTTGCGTCATTTATTTTCTCACTGTTTAATTTTATGTTATGATTTTTACAATAATCTTGTTGCTGGCAACATGCATTATTTTACTATTGAGTTTGTGTGAATGGCAACAGTTGTTCATATTTAGGTTTCGGTAGAATAGCGTTCTTAGCCGTACCATTCTGCAGGCAATTTTTCGTAAGAATATTTCATGTTTTAGAATATCAATAAAATTTTTGTACAAGGCTGATGCTTTTTATTTCAAGGCAACTAGAATTAATTGAATGAGATTATCACTTTTATCAGTACAGTCATTAAGACTAGGTCATCCTTTCTGCTTCGCTGAAAACATTAATACCTGATCTAATTTTTGCAATAGTGTTTTCTTTTACAACATGCGAGATAAAGAAGAGCAAGGTAATTCAGTTTCACTATCTGGTGTTTCTTCTGTTATTCCCACTTCTTCCCACTGCTTAGTATTTCGCAAACTTCATATTGGTTTTCAAATTTAAGTCATTTGACTGTATTATTTAGTATTTTAGTAGCTAAATTAAAAACTTCTTGCAAGCTCACATGGTTTTCAAGCCATGGCAAGTTTACATGAAAGTGACTTTCATCATTAATTGTGTTTAAGAAATGTTCTCTTGCAGCTTCATGCAATTTTTCTTCTCAGAAAGTTCTAAAATAGCTTACATTAAACAGTTCTAAACAGTTAAAATTCTTTTAGCTTTACAGAAGTAGCATGATTTATGAAAACCTGAACAAAATACAGAATTATTTTCTTTTGTAGTTGAAATCAAAGAATACACCGATAGAATTGATGGAGGTTTATCCTGACTTTTAAAATCAGTACCTTTTGAGCTGTAACTTAAAGATGCTTGGTTTGTTCCAAAAACATTTACTGGCTGTAGATACTCTCTCTTCTTCCTCTATTTCATCAAGTAAAAAATAAGTAACCCATCTAAATCCATTCAATAGGAGAAATCTTTTATCATTTGATCACCGTCTCTCTCATGTGTTTCAAACTCTGTGCACTTTCAATTTAAAACTCTGATGCTTGAAGAGTTTCATTAAATGATGATTCTACTAGTAGTCACAACATTGTGGCATATTTATTTCTCACAAAGCCGAGAATTTCTAAGGCATGCATGAAGTTTCGATTTCAAACTATCATATAATTTCCACAAAGAAAACTTTTTTAAAATTTTTCTCTGAGACTAACGAAAGTAAATCTCTAACATACACTTCTATCAGGATGGCTTTTTGACTGGAACACACTTGTAATAGCTCAAAAGCTTTGCTATAACTTTCACCACACAGTGGGAAACTCTTAATACCTCAGCACACGATCCAGTTTCAGGGTTCGTGGTGGTCTTTACAAGTGCTTATAAGTCCTTATGTTTGAAAATAAAAGCCCTTATAGGTGCTTACTTTTTCTCTAAAGCACTTATTTTTTACTTTTAGTGCTTTTGTTTTTTTTAGCGCATGTACATATTTTCCCCGTACGAAAGCCAAAACTAAATAAACAACTTTTCTTCCTTATATGGAATGTCCGATGTTGAATCATACGCCCAGAAATAGCTTTCCGCCCCTTTCTCTGCATTAACATAACCTTAGGTACAAGCGAGTACAGACAATTGTTCTATCGGTCAAAGAATTGCGAAAGAGGTAGAAAATTCCGGTACATTCCATATTCTTTTGCTCCCACCCAATACTACACACTTTTGAATTTTTATCAAGATTTTAATAATTTACATTCTCTTTCCACATGGTCAGTTCATATTCACATTTATTATGATCGTTATGCTTATATTATGAGCATATGTATGAGTATTTGTAATAATATATTTGCAGTAACTGCTGAAGTATAGATAAACTTCAAAAATGGGTGTGCCTTAACACAGATTAGTTTTCTAAGGATTAATGTTTGGGAATGGTGTAAATAAAGTGAAAGTAATCGAATAGTCAAAAATTGTTTTGGCAGTGCGTTATACAGTACGGAAGTTGGGGGTTCTCCCCTTTCTCTACAAAATCTCGAATATTGAAACCGTTGCAGTTCGCAGCAAAGCAAGCAATGGACTTTTTTTGGGGGTCACTTTCCAGCGTGGATTGAATAGGACTAACAGTTCTGCAGTCTACCAAGCGAAGAATGATTCTATTCCAGAAATTTAATGCAGACTGTTCAAAATTAGAATGAAAAACACCCCAGAGTGGTAAATCTCTTTATTAATCAATATAATAGGCAGGGATATCGCACGGAGCATGATGTGTCCTGCTCAGTGATAAATATGCCACATGAGCGCAAGACGGTGAAAACTGGACGAAGCAAAGGGACTTTTTGCTTTATTTAGTAACTTATTATCCGAATACCGGCAGCAGTTCGTTCTTTTACTGTGCTTGCTAAGCAGATTATTTTTCAGTGTCATTGGGCTATTTTTTATATGATGCACATAGCAAAATGTCAAAACCGTTATTTAGCTGAAAAATTTAAAGAATGGCTACAATCTAACCCCCTTCCTTTTTTTACTAGTTATGCTCAACTATCTGGAATTTTCAGATATTCAGCAATTTCCAAGTATGCCGGTTAGTTAAGCTTCTACTGTTAAAGGATGATTGCATGAAGCAACTTTCAGTCTCCTCCTGATTTCAGAAAAGATCATTTTTTTTTTATTTACTTAAATTACTTTCCTTGCAATATCTGTTAAGGGAAAACTGTTATACAATAAAAATTTAGAAAATGTTCAGAATTTTGATTCAAGTTAAATTATTTAAATATTAATATGAGTGGAAAAATAAATTGTTTTTTTTTAGGCACGAAGCGAATATAATAAATATGGCTTATTATTATTTATTTTCTCTATTTTGAACCGAAATTTCTTCATTAAATCTTGTAATATAATTTAGCTCTGCATAGTTTTTTATTCTTTCATTGTAAACTAGTCCTGTAAATTGAAATGGTATTTCCCATGGTTCAGTAATGCTCATTCTCTCTTCATAAATACTGTATTTCTCATATTTTAAATTACAAGTCTAATTTTTCTTTTAAGGTTATGCAGTTGTGTATAAAGTAATTAGACAGGTGCTTATTTCATTCCCCTTAAATATGCTTGAAAAATTCTTATAGGTGCTTATTTTTTAAACTAAAATGTGGCTACGAACCCTATGTTTCCATTGATTGCAGTAAATATGCAAATTTGTCATGATTGTCTAAACTTGGATTACTGTATGTATTCTTTGATTGCCCCCCAAACCCAAATAAATTTGTAATATTACCATCAAACTGTGACAACTTTTAGACTTTTAGATATAAATATCAGACTCATCAATTTCTCTATTCACTGCATCTTCATTTTCTTCAGAACAAAATAATTCACATCTATCTCCTAGCATGTGTGTAACTATCTCTAACATCAGTTTCACTTTCTGTTTCAGCAACTTTAATTTGAAAAGCTAAAACACTTTCTACCTTTTTGTAATCGTTTAACATTTTAGTAAATAATCTTCTAAGATAGCTTATCTTTCATGACCCTGAAATCTTAAACAAACAAAGTATCTTATGTAGTTTCGAAGCATTTACCTTCAATAACGCAAACAAACATTAATAAGCTACTGAATTGAAGGCCAAGATAAAATTGTTTGGTGGTCGTGTGTGCTTAATGCATGATATAATTAAAGAAAATAAGAGTAGACAATCTCCTATAACAAAAGAATATATTAAGTACTAAATTACAATTTAAATTACATTGCAGAGATCAACACAGAGCTCGGAACACAGTTCATGCTACCTTCGCGTACAGTTGTCCGACGAGAAGTCTGAGTGAGTAAAGATGTCGCTTTGCTGCTCCGATTAAGAACTGGATTTTACACGTGGCGCCATCTCATGAATAGAAGTTGAAGTATCTGTCGGAACGCCACAGTACTCCCCCCCCAAGTACCATCGGTACGTTATAAGTACTTTGGGTTAAATTTAACCTTTCTTCCAGATCTGGTAGTTTTAGGTTGCTCTTTAACGGGATGTAAGCT